GCGTCGCCCCCGCATCCCCCGCCGAGGCTCCGCGCGAGGACCTGCGCACCTGCCTCGCCGTGCCGACGTCTGACCTCGCTCGACCTCAGCAGGCGGGCGGGCGTGAGGCTCGCGTGTCTGCGGGCGGCAAGGGCGCGGCTGCTGACTCCTCCAGCGGCAGTAGGAGCTCCGTCGACCACGAGTGCTCTCCCAGGACGTGCGGCTGTGGCGTGGAGGCGGCAGCGAAGGGCGGCGCGAGGGGCGAGGAGGCGCAGCAGGAGGCGCTCGAGGCCAGACGGAGGCCCTCGGCGGATGTGGACAGCGGCATCGAGAGCGACGAGTCCATCCACCTGTCCTCGCCGTCGCCGCCGTCGCCTTCGTCGTCACCCAAGCAGGACAGTCAGCCGCGACTTCGTCAGACGTGTATCACAGGTGAGCCCCCCCCCCTGAGTAAGAGATAAGGCGGTGTCACGACCTTTCGTCTCCGCCCGCGCGAGGAAAGGAAAGCAGGGCCTTCAGTCACGCCCTCCGCGTTAGGTGTTCGCGTCTCAACCTTTTTATCGTTATCGTTATCGTCGTCTATTATCGTCATTATCTTCCTGGAACCATCTTCGAGTGCGTTTTACTCCTTTTGTGAATCATTACTAATTCAAGCTGGTTGTCAAAACCTAACGCAACGTATAACTTGTTCTTATGACCAATTATGTACTATTGATGATAAACTTGCCAAATAGGGAACGTCTGCAATTGACGTTACTTTTCCCGGAATTAAATAGTCTATGAATCCAATTTTGTCCATTACGTAATAACTTGTTTACCTTTACCTCTTACGCTAACCGATTACGATCGTATTTCATGAATTAATTCAATATAACAAATCTATCAGGCATAACACGTACCATATGCAGGGAGGCAGGCGCGAAAGGTTAATAAATTCTACGGACTCGCGGCGCCACTTTTGGTTGATTGGGAGGAGGTAATGAATTTGTTTCGGAGAATCCAATATGCGGGAGTCATTTACTGAAAAATATAAAGTTCAAGCGCAATTTAAGGACGTACATACGTACGTATGTATCTTTCTATCTATATACATGTAAATATATGTATAAATATGTATATATATACATATAAATACATATATATATATATATATATATATATATATATATATATATATATATATATATATATATATGTATATGTATATGTATATATATGTGTGTGTGTGTGTGCGTCCCTGTGTTTATGTATACATATATACCCACACACACACAAATATATATATATATATGCATGTATATATATATATATATATATATATATATATATATATATATATATATATATATATATATATATATGTATATATGTATATATATATATATATATATATATATATATATATATATATATATATATATGTATATATGTATATATATACTGTTTGTATGTATGTATATGTATGTAAGCGTGAATATTTTACAAAGACCTGTTTTAACAATAAAGTGTCCAAAGAGACAGACATAAAAGATAAAAGACTGATGTTCTAAATTTGTGAACAAAATGTTGCAAATAGGAACCGGTTTCATGTCAACGAAATCCAGACAATCTCTTTACATAATTCTAACCTCCTCTTCTTCTTCTCCTCCAGAGTTTGTACGTCCAAAGAAAAGGTTGACCTTCTCCTCGAAAGACCAGCAAGCGGCCCACACGACCCAGAGCAAGAAGAGGTCCGCCTCGAGCCTCCAGGACCACCTTCAGCCTCCCCACAAGAAAGTCCTCCTCCAACTCAGAGCGTGATGAAGAAAGAGCCCGACGAAGAAGGAAGAAGAAGAAGAGGGAAAGGAGGACTTCGTGAGGTCTCCTTCACGCTTTCATGACATCCTTCAGGTTCCCTTGAAGTCTGCTTCAGGTCCTCGCGAGGTCTCCTTCAGGTGTTCTTGTGTCTGGCGGTTTTCAGGAAGCTACGAAGAGCGGATTTCAGTCTCCGAGGCGACGGACAGATGACCAGAATGAACCGGACTGAAGCGAATGCCGAAGGAGCGCGCTCGACGTCCCTCAGATTGCCCGAGCGACGAAGACACGCGCAGAGGAGTCGCTGAAGTGAGAAGACGTGCGAACTGACATGAAGGTGCTGCTTCGGGCCACTCGGAGTCTTTGCCTGTCTCCTCCCGCGAAAAAGGTGGATTGAAACCTGAAGTGAAAGGATTGGCGAGATGAATTCCCGAGCGACAGGGTTTGTTCACGTGACGGACCGTGATATCAGGAGGAACTGTTTTCGCTGTGGAAGGAAGGAAGGAAGTCTGACGTGCTTCTTTTAGGAGTATAAGTGGAACTCAGCTTTACCTATTTATCGTTGAAACCCATTTTATTATTATTATTATTATATTAATATAATTATTAATTATTATTTTCGTTGCTACATAATCCGTGTATTGTCGTAAGATGAAAAAGTATAATGACCATGTGCTGGTAATTATCACTAGTCATATATCAGCTGACATCCAAATGTTATTTAATACTATCAGTTAAGATCGAACACTTTACCGGAAACGAAGGCAAGTCCAAGACACGCCCAAGAATCTTAATGTTGCAAGTGCATAAAGTGGTGAAGAGCTTATTTTGAATCTTTTGAGTCAGAATCATCAACAAAATTCACGAAGATCCCGGAAAATATCAAGAGAGTATTACGTCCCTAAGAGTCATCAATGAAGATCGAAGACAAGCCACTGGGTAAAAGTACGAACACAGTGTCCTTGAAGACATCAATAAAAGGAAAAAAAAAAGTACAGGGAATATCATAGATAACATGAAATCTATAAATGGACGCCCGGAAGTCGAAAGGAACATCAAGTGAATCTATGTCTTAAAAATGAATGCTCAAAAGTCGACCCTCCCTGAAAAATCACTTCGATCACCAAAAGTTGCCGAAATCGACGTCCGAAAGCGAGCGACAACATCTCACGGCTCGACAAGGGCCCTCGACGCCTCCCGCTCGACCCACGGCTGGGAAATGTTACGACCAAACACTCGACGGCGATATAAGGACGAGGAAGAGGGGGGGGGGAGGGGAAGGGTTTGGAGTCTTGAAAATGTCTTGGATTTTGTCGCGTTTCCTGTGTTCGATTCTTTTGTTTTTTAATGGTGAAGGCTTTAGTATGTATCTAAGTTCTCTTTTTTATATAAATGATCATGAATCTACCTCTTAAATTTCAAAATATTTTCCACTTCTTCTTAATATATATATATATATATATATATATATATATATATATATATATATATATATATATATATATATATATGTATATATATATATATATATATATATATGTATGTATGTATGTATGTATATATACATACCTATGTATATATATGTGTATATGATATATATATATAGATAGATAGATAGATAGATATATGTATGTATATTATAGCACATGAAGTGATTAACATTTTCTTTTCATGATCAGATCTCATTTTTTCCATTATTATTTACAGTATTTATATTTCCTTCTCTTAATCATTATGATTTTAATTTCTCCACACTGTTAATTAATCTATTGTTCTTGAAATGTATATGTTTTTTTTTTGTAATGGAATATGTTACTGTCTAGTCTCGTAATTTAATGTTATCTTTTGATATTTAAAGATTTGCTGAGGTGAGGCTTTAATTACTTTAGTTCTGTACAGATGTAAATAAATATGATAAGGAATAAGAAGTTGGTTGTATTTTTTAAGATCCTGAGAAAGAGAGAGGAAGAGGGAGGGAGAGAGAGAGAGAGAGAGAGAGAGAGAGAGAGAGAGAGAGAGAGAGAGAGAGAGAGAGAGAGAGAGAGGAAGAGAGAGAGAAGAGAAAAGAGAGATACAGACAAGGAGAATTATAGAGAGAGGTAAAGAGAGTGGGAGATGGAGATGGAGAGGGAGAGAGAGGGAAAGAGAGAGAGAGAGAGAGAGAGAGAGAGAGAGAGAGAGAGAGAGAGAGAGGGAGAGAGAGAGAGAGAGAGAGAGAGGGAAAAGAGAAAAGAGAGATACAGACAAGACGAATTATACTACATCCTTGACATCATTAAAATAAATATGAATAAGTTTCTCAAACAATACCCAAAACTCGTTAACAAGAAAAAATAACAACACAAACGAAATATTTATATGCCGCACGTGAAACAAATAACACAAACAACAAATTAAAATATTTAAAAGGGCACGTGTTGGTTATTAAAATGATGATTACCCTTAATGGAGGACTAGTGTCAAAAATAGCCTGCTTAGTACCAACATTAACGTACTTAACATCAGCTAATGAGGGTTTGATTGACTATCACAACACTCTACACATCCGGAGGCTAGGCCTACCAGCAGGCCTACTAAGTGATCATATTTTCATTTTTCTTGCTTGTTCTTTCTCTCTCTTTTTTTTAACATAAAGATCGCTAAAACAGTTATTGGAACAATGTTACGACGAGACATTACTGTTAACTGTGGTAATAACTATAGATTATCAAAGTCGATCAAAACTGTCACATGGACACATACACAAACACGCACATACAGACGAGTAAATAAAATTTTAACGAGATTTCACCTGCTGTGGTTTTCATAATGGGTGTTCTGTTCCCGAAGTTTATTTTCTGACTTATTTTTTTTCTTTACTTTGTTTATTTTCATAAAATTTTGTGTTTTTCTTTCTGTTTCTTTTTTTTCATAAGTCTCTCTCTCTCTCTCTCTTTCCGCCTCTTCTCTCTTCCTCTCTCTCTCTCTCTCTCTTTCTGCCTCTTCTCTCTCTCTCTCTCTCCCCCCTCTCTCTCTTCCTCTCCCCCTCTCTCTTTCTGCCTCTTCTCTCTCTCTCTCTCTCTCCCCTCTCTCTCTCTTCCTCTCCCCCTCTCTCTCTCCGCCTCTTCTCTCTCATCCCAATCTATCCCTCATCCATGCAAATACAACATAGAAACCACTCTGTCTCCGTCATACACTCTACAATTCTACAAAACACGATACTCTTGCAAGATTTCACTAAGATTCCC